AAAAAAAAAAAAAAAAAAGAGCGAAAGATGCATACTGTCCCTCTTAGAGATTTCCTCCACTAGCTTGTGCCCAGTGCCAGGTGTGTGAGATGCTTAAACAAGCTGATGAAGTCACTTTAAAAGTTGTGTGTAAAGCTTACAAAAATAGCAGGCTTGTGAATGATTTATTTGTTAGAGGGGGAAGTAAACAGCCTCTGACAGCTCACCAGGCTTCGGAGGTTTATTGGCCCTTAGCACAGAGTACTACCTGCAAGTCAAGGTACTGCTGTGACGTTTGTCCCTAATTAAGTCATAGAAATGAGTTAATTTTCAAATAGGACCATAATCCTTTTATTGTTGCCTAGGGCCATCCCCACCAGCTCTGCTGTCGCTTCCCGCTAGAGGAAACCCACTTCTCCGCAGAGCAGATCAGCCACGGCTTCCTGGGCTCAAATTTAAACCAAGGCGTAGGTCAGGAGGGCAAACCCAGAGCAATGGGTGTAAGGCCGCCGGGAGCTGGAGCACAGCGCTCGTCTGCGGCTCCTGCGGGGCTTCCCGCAGCGGTGCTGGGCAACCCTGGATTCCCGTTAGGCGAGACTGCTGCGTGTGCTGGATTTGGGGGGATTTACAGGATGCTGTGAGGATTCTCTGCAGCTGCAGCACCGGTGTCCGGTCTGAGTTAAAAAACATAGCCGGGGTTTGCACAAATCCCACCCTCGTTCCCCTTTGGTTAACTGTAATTTTGCTGCCGACTGCCCTAAAAGATTCTGCCGTAGCAGAGAATTTGGGAAAAGGCAGCGCGGCTGCGAGGCCGGACGGGTTTCTGAAGGGCCGGGAGCATCGGCGGGACGTGCCCCGGGGAGCGCGGGACGGCGGGTCCCTGCTCTTCCCCGACCCACGCATTTTGGGGGACAAAACCGCCCAAGAGGCCCCGGGGACGTCTCTTTCTTTCGCGTTTCCCCCCCCCCCATCTCCCTCGGCGGAGGCCCGCGGAGAGAAGCCGGGCCCGCAGCAGCCCCTCTGGTACCGAGCTGCCCGGACCTCCACGGTCTCCCGAGTCCCGCTCCTCGCCCCGCCACGCTTGACGGCTCCGGGGACGCGGGTTTCCCTCAGGACTCTGCCCCTCGCTGCCGGCACCCACCGCGGCCCTGCCTGTCAGCGCTCCCGGGCTGGGGTGGGGGGCGCTACCGAGGGCACCGCCTGTCCCCAGCGCAGGGGACGCCGGTCCCTGACAGGAAACCCCCCCCCGAGGCGCCGCCGCTCGCCCG